CTATGGAACACAAGCCTGTGTTCAAAATATATTAGTATTCTGGCAAAATTTCTAAGTTAGCAAGGATATTACATAAAGAAAAAACTAATATTGGTTAATCTTTCATCATTTTCTCTAGCTCTGGGATTAAATTTCCTTATCTCAAAAATCCTCTCAAAGAGTCAGAAGCTTCCTTTCAAAGGTTTTATTAAAAGTCACTAGAAAAAATGTATTACCTTTTACTCTCATAAGATGTAAGCAAGAAATAAATATTGTGTAGCTTGTGTATCTGTGGTACAGGACTAAGCCTAAGGTCTTATGCTCTGCCAATGAACTAAAGACCTAGCCTAATTCATTGTTTAAAACTGCATTATCTAGAGGATATAGTGGAACAATTCCTCCAAAGAAAGTTTCTGAGGCTTCACTAAGGTCATATCTAGGATTCCTTACTCATCAACCTTACTGACCCCTGATCCTGCCTCGGGTACAGGCATGTCAAAGGTAAGTGTGGTCATTCCCAGCTAAGACAACCTCAGTCTAATGGGAAGAATGGCCAAGAAGATCAGCAGGTTTAACACAGAATGTATTAATTAACATGTGTTAACTGAGAACCAATCAATCAATTGAGAATCATTTGTGCAGTCTCTAATGAGAGAATAAAATACTGAGATAGCTATGATGTATGCAAAAGAGTTGACTAATTAGTACCCTTTGGACGTATTTAAAGGTATCAAATTCATAGTTGAAACTTTCCTCCAAATATTTTGGTTCATTCTCAGCTTCCCCATCCTTCCAGTTTCTCTTCCTTCCTTCCTTCCTTCCTTCCTTCCTTCCTTCCTTCCTTCTTTCTTTCTTTCTTTCTTATTTTTTAAAGTTTTTATCGATTCTTTGTGTATATTGAATCATGCATCCTGATGCCATTCACCCCCCGGCCCCTCATAGCCACCCTCTTCCCTTGTAACCCTACCCCAAAATAAAATAAGAATATTGAGAAGAAAAAATCTTGTTGTGGAAGCTGCAGTGTGACACAGTGACTCATGCAGTATATCTATTAGTCCATACATCTCAACTTGCAAATTTTCATCACAAAGAGTCGTTGGTCTGGTTGGAGGTCTCTGGTTTCTGTTGTACTATTGATGCTGGGTGCTCACTGGGACTCCTCTTGGAATCCTGTTGTTGCCCTGGAGATCTTACAGCTTTGGGTCTGTAGGACTGGTCCCTTTACATGCTCCATCAGTTCATAGATGGGGTGGATTCTAGGGTGTCCAGCTTGTAGCCTTGGTTCTGGTCTGGGTGGTTGCTGGCTTGGTCAGCTCACCAGCTATCCCCCGTTGTCACCACCTGGGAGAGCTCTCCTGCACTGCCCTAGTTCATCCAATGTAGCATGCAGCAAGGGACAGGGCCAGTTCTCCTGCCCTCAGGCCGGTTCACCCACACCTACACCTTCAAGACCAGCTCTACTGTGTTGGCCAGGTGAGGTGCAGGGTCCACTTTGCCGAGCGCTGGAGTGCTGCAGCTGCCAAGGGACAGATCCAACTCTCCTGCTCTGGATACTCCCATTTTAATATATAGTTTGGGTTCACTTGTTTGTATCTCAGTTGCTTAAGTGGATTTACGTTGTAAATGTCAACATGTCTCACTGATTATTTCTTGAATTTTTTTTGTTTATCATCGTTTACATTCTTTTAAGAAGAATGGAGTTTTATCTGTCTTTGCATCCCAAGATGCTAGTGAAACACAGTACTTGTCATGTCTTTGGTATTTAATAAATTACTTTTATTTTATTTATTTCATTATTCTGGTGTTGGTGATTGAGTCCCTTGTACATATGAACTATCTACTCTATGAACCATACTGTCAACCCCATGGTGAATTATTTTTAAAAAGAAAGTGGGAAAACATGCAAGTTATTTTTTTCAAATGTCTTTCTTTGTGTGTGTGTGTGTGTGTGTGTGTGCATGCGTGCGTGCGCGCACGCGCACATGTGAGTGAGCATACAAGTGTTCATATATGCACATGTGAGGGTGTGTGGAGGCCAGAGGTAAATGCTGGTGTCTTCCCATATTGCTCTCTATTTTAGCTTTGGGACAGGGTCTCTAAAGGTACAAACAAGCAGTGATATTTAAGCTGTCTGTCTTTACAACTATGATCTTACAAGGTCACTTTCTATCCATTTACTTAGCACTAAGTTTGGGTTTTATTGCTGCACTGACAGGAAGATAAGTAGCCTGTGAAGAGTGTCATGTCATGAAAAGCTTAAGCATTTCGTTGTTGCTTGCTTGCTTAGTTTTTGCTTTATGGTTTAGGAGATGGTGTCTCACTTTGTAACCTAAATTGGCCGTGAACTGACTACTTAGCTCAAACACTCCTCAAATCTATGATTTGTCTATTTTTGCTTCCTGAGTGTTGGAATCAAAGGTGTGCACCATCACATCTAAACATTAAAAGTGTTGAGTTTTTATGCAAAGCCTCGATTTCTTTGGGAAGTTATACTGTCTTATTTATTTAACTGAAACATGTTTGCTGGGAGTAGTGTTTAGCACTGGTACAAAGAACTTACCTAACATGCACAAGGGCAACCAACAGCCATCACAAACAAACAGGATCAGCAATAATTGCACAAAGACCGAGGAATCTACTGAAGATTTAGATTGCGTCTCCATGCTTCAAATGAGTAGAACATTGCCGCTCTCGGGTTTTGTGGGCGAGATGTAAAAATCTCCCAAGTGAAATGTTTTTCAAGTACTGATATCTTTAGATTTAATTACCAACAAATTGTTTTTAATTTAATACATTCTGATGAGGTCATCAAGCACATTCTGTCATCATGCATCTGATTACAGCGGGATGCACAGACCTCAGATAATTTGACCAAGGAAATATAATTAGCACAGTTCTTTACAATATAAACAGAAACAGGAATTAATCTCTCCTTTAGTCTGAGTGATTCAGATATGGGGAATGATAAATGTGTTATACTCTCTTTGGGAGTCTTAAGGCAGGTTGATGACGTACATACACATACCCATTAAGCACTTGCATGACCCTCCTTTTGTTTCTGACATGTGATGTTTGTTGACACTGCACTGAGTAAGCTAAATAAATTTACAGAGTAGGAATTGTTATTGAGTCTGTGAAGTTCACAGTGTGGCACAGAACCAGAGTTGAACCTGAAACTTTTTGGAGTGTTACCACAGTGCTGTGAACTGTGTCCCCAAGCCACAGAATGTAGGCTTCCCACAGAGCAGAGATCTCATGGAAAGTGAAAATGAATTAATTGAGTAGACTTTGTGTTTAATGCTTACTATTCTAGTTATAACTAAAGAAATAGCTATTTGCATATTAAGGGAATAAATCCAAGCCCCAAATACTAATTTGCTGTTTTCCTCTATGGAGGATATAATTTGACATGCAGTCTTGTGTACTGTATATGCTAGGCAGAAGCTTTCAATATTGTTATACCATTAACCTTAAGCTCTGTGACATTCAGGTGACATTAATGTGGAAAGAATCCACGAATGTCATTAGCAATTCTTCCTATTAGTGTAGTGAACTGAGTAAGATTTATGTTGCTTTTATTTAGAAACACACAGTGTTATTCTATTTTGACTCAAGGGTGTTAACATTTTTACTGTTAGCATTAATTTGTTTTCTTTTAATTATACAATTACTACATTCATTTTCCCTAGTAAAATGGAAAAATATCTCAATTGCCAGATGTTGATGATACGTTCTTAGGGTCTTAATGTCTAGTCTCATTGGGTTTCTGGCTTTGGCTTATAAAAGTTTATGGGCTCAGTATTTGTTTATGTTGGGGGAATTTCACTGGCACATTTTAAAGATACAGTTACCATTTTCCATAGATGATTTCTGCCAATATTTGTCCTTCATTATCATCACAACAGAAGTTTCCAGTGTGTAATCTTTTGCAGTTCTGATAGGCTTAGCCTGCTCTTCCAAAAGTATTAATCAAATATCTGCTGCATATTTTTTCAAAAAATATTTTTTGTTCTTTGTCTGTGAAAGCCTATGTTTATCTAGAGAAAGTCTGTGAATCAATAAGATTTGGTTAATATTTTCTTAAAAATATTGACTTGAAATTTAATGCTAAGCATCTTCAAAAGGTAGTTTTGCCATGTAATTTTTAATATGTAAGTAAAGAATAGTTGTTTGTGAAGCTAACAGTATTGTCCACAGGAAGACATAGACTTGAACTTCCTCTCTTACTTAATACCATCCCATATTCTCCATCACAGGAACTCCTATATTAAAATGTTATCACAACCCTGTGATTCTTTTAGATTCTTCTCTGGTTGTCTAGATCTCCCAGAGAAAAATGAGGTGAAGAGAAACAGGTTTGAAAGATATTTTTGTTGGTACATTCATAAATTGATAATTAAAAACCAAATATTTGAGTTTCATACTCTGTAATGGTTTTCAAATAATGTTTTCCCATGTTGGATGCACAACTCTCTTGTCAATGGGTATTAGTCCGTTGTGAAGTAAGGAAACAATGGTTCAGAGAGGAGGGGCAAGTCCAGTCCCCTTACTGATAGAATGACAAATCAAGTCAGAGAGCCGTGCTTGCAGACCTCACCATGTCAGAGTCAATACTGAAAGAAAAGTGAAATGGAAAAAGCATATTAAGTTAAATTGCAAGTACCAGGTGGTGGTGTCACAAGCCTTTAATCCCAACTCTTAGGAAACAGAGGCAGGTAGATCTCTATGAGTTCGAGGCCAGCCTGGTCTACATAGAGTTCCAGGACAGTAGGTTACACAGAGAAACCTTGTTTTGAGAAACTAAAAAGAAAAGTTAAATTACAAGGTATGCAAACATTTCTTTTTCTTCATGACTTGAATTAAAAATATTTAAATCTTAGATTCTCAAATTTTTTCTGTTTAAAGTTTTGTTAGGCTTAGTTTTTGAAGTGGACGGGAGACAGAACCTCATATTACTCACCTTGGAAACAACAGGAAGACGGAAATTTATTTTGCTGTGTCACTATCTTGTTTTTTCCTAGCTGCAGATGTTCTTTGAGACATTCCTGAGGACAAGTTCACCCCTGCAGGCATTGGATAGCATGAAGGAAGCAATTAGCAAGCTCCTATTGGTGGCCGAGGTGTTCAGTGAAACGTCTACCCTGGGACCAAAGACCTTCCATAGGTGAGAGGGAGAGGGAGAGGGAGAGGGAGAGGGAGAGGGAGAGGGAGAGGGAGAGGGAGAGGGAGAGGGAGAGGGAGAGGGAGAGGGAGAGGGAGAGGGAGAGGGAGAGGGAGAGGGAGAGGGATTCTAAAATTTATTTGTGAAAAATTTAGTCTCTGAAAGTAAATAGAAGTTAGAAAAGTGTGTGTCAGTACGTCATAATATGACCTAAACATGTATGGCCAAATTTATAGATTCTAAAACGTCAGAGGTTGTTGAATGCCATTTGTTTGTATCAAAATGTTGTGACAGGAAGTAAAATACAAGGTCTTGAATATTTATCATTATCATCATCATCATCATCATCATCATCACCATCATCATTTCAGCAATCTAACTTTATAGACTAGACTAGCCTGGAACTTCTAATCTTTCTGCCTCTACTTCCTAAGCGCTGGGACTACAAGCCTGTTCTTGAATCGTAAAATAATTTTTGAATTTGTAGCCTCCTTTCAAGTCTTTCCATCAAATATACTAAGTGTTGATTAGGTGTAACTTTACCTGTACGTAATACATTTTGTACTCAAATGTCCCAATAATTTCAAAGAAGCAAAGAATTTTAACAAAATTCAGTCACCTCTAATCTCACAGCTCAGTGTCTCTGGCAATAGCTCCTTCTAGGGATACGGTGTCTAGTTTGCAAAAAAAGGGAGAGGTGTGTAGTGTGTGGTTCATTCTTACACATTCTGTAAGCATCAGTGTTAAGCATGGAGGACCTGGATGCTTCTCCCTGTATTAAGATTCTCATGGAATAATGTCAATCATTACTGGAGTGTGTCTTGGAGAATGGAGGCATATTTGCACTTTCTCTAATGAACAATCTATTTCATGTAATCTTCTGTTATCCATTCCATTGACCTTTTAAATCATGGAAATTTAACTGTATCAATTATAAACAATGTAATAAGTGTAGCAAACAGAATATGCTGTCCCAAACAGAATATGCTGTCCTGTTACTTTGTGTTTTTCCTTCCAGATGTAGACAGTGCTTTCAGCTTTTAACTTTTGATATTGGTTATGGAGATTTGGGGTACCCTGTAGTGCTCCAGGTGAGTATGCAGGACGAGGTGTGTATATTGAGGGGGGATGCATTTTCATTCACAGTTACCTGCTGATTAATAACAACTTCTGTTACAGTCCTTATAGGCTCATATGCTCATGGCTCCTAGCAAGTGGGAAATCTGTGAATTCTTATCACTATGTGGACACACTAGGACAAACATGAAGTTTTCCATAGTTCCCCCAAATTCATGAACAAATATAGTATTAAGTCAAGTATATGTTCATAGGGAAAAGGAAAACATACTGATAGTAGCAAATAGAAGATGACCCAGGGTACTCACATGGCATCATGAAGAGTTAGCTAGCTAGCTCTTCAATTCTTCTTTTTTTTTTTTTTTTGATTTTTGAGACAGGGTTTCTCTGTATTGTTTTGGAGGCTATCGGTCCACCCCGGCCTCGAACTCACAGAGATCCGCCTGCCTCTGCCTCCCGAGTGCTGGGATTAAAGGCGTGCGCCACCACCGCCCAGCTCAATTCTTCTTAAATTAGTCTACATTTTCATTTAAAAAGCCTATAGGAACTAGAGGGACTGACCAGTGACAGAATTCTTGCCTGGAATGCACTAAGCCCTAGGTTTCATCTCTAGTAATACAAATAAAAAATTATTTTTCAATTCTAATTTAAAAGCATACAAAGTCATGTGAATTTTTGAAAAATTTTCTGATATATATATATATAGACATATATACATATACATATGGGTGATTTTTAGTTTGATTTAAAAACTCTTCCATATCACTTCCCTCAGCATATTTTTTCTTCTAAAACACTTTTCAGTAGTAGGAAGACAAAAACATTGGTTCAGCTAATTTATGAAAATCTGTCCATTGGGCTATAGGGGATCAAGTTAATCTTATGGGTAAGCAGGGTTCAACTCCACTAGAGTTTAGTTTTTCCAAACTATAATGTAGAGAACACAATAACAGAAATTTTGCATGTTCAAGATTTATCTATGAATTTTAGAATTTTTATGAAATTTTTTTAATGATCATTTGCCTTTTTGATACATATCTAATAGTTAAAATTAAACTTTAAAAAGTTGCATTTTGGAAAAATATCATGTAGTATCTTTCATGAACAAATATTTGTAAGCTATAAAGAGTTTCAAGCTAAGCTAGTGTGACTTTGAAATAGTTCATGCTCCTCTACATTAAAAGAATGGCGTCTTCATAAGAAACATTACTCTCATTTATAAAAGTGTTAGCCTCCAGAAGACCACTAGATGTCAGTTCTGGTCTACAATCCAACCTGAAATAAATCATGCCTTAGAATTCATTTCACTGTAATGTCTCCCCTACTTCTTTTCCTTCAAAGGTACATGAGCATTTGAAAGTTCGGGATGATGAGAATTTCAATCTGGAGGACCAAAATACAGAAAATATCCTTTTAAAGGATACTTTCAATTTCCTCTTCTCCAATACATCTTCACTTTCTGAGCGATTACAGAAGCTCTATGCGCTTGAGGTAAGCTCATATACGCACACTGACAGCACTTTTCAGCCACTAGTTATTTTTATTGTGTAATTTAAATTTTATCACTTTATTTGAAATTAATTAATAATTGTAATCTATTATCTTGTGCTTCTAAATTTTTCTGATCTGAGGACCAACATCCTTTTATACTAAGTATGCATGCGAAGGGCTGTGATGAAAATGAAGTAAAAACGTTCATAATTGTTGAGGAGCGTTTATAGATATTTTAAATGATACATGTGCTCATATATGTTAGAATGCTTTCCAAAGACTTTTAGAACTCTCTGAAGGCAGTCTAGAATGCCAGAGTGCTCCAGGATGACTTCAGGGGAATTGAGTTAAAAATGTTAATTTGCTGAAATATTCATGTCTGTTAATGTTTGGCTGGATGCTGACAGGGTGTAATGCTTCAGAGTGATGCTGATATTTTTGTTTTGTTTTGTTTTTATGGCAGGTTAGCACAGCGTTTTTGTACACTAAAAAATCTGTGCCAATTACCATATTATTCCCCCCACATGCCTTTCTATTTTGAAACTCATATTTAAAGAATTTAGAAAAGGAGTATGTAAAAGTTTCACAAAGGTAATGATGGTGTCTGTCATGTACACCATGTCACAGAGCATTGTTCTTGATCTCAGGGACGCTCTATAGAACAAAGGATATGGGAAAATGTGGTGTGGGAAGTGTGTCTATCAGTCTATGAAACTCTCCAGTGACAGCATCCCACACTGAATGTTCATGGACAGATGCTCTTTGGTGTTTTCACCCCTATTGCTCTGAAGGCCCAAGGAAAATCTTGCATTCCCAAACCATGGCCACACACATCCTGCTCTCCTGTATCCACCTCTGTGACGTCACTGCCAAGGCACTGTTGGGTTAGTTAAGATGGTCAAGCTTGTCAAGTACGAAATATTCTTTTAATATGTTTGGATGTCGTTGAGACAACGTATATTTGTCTATGAATTCTATAACTTTAATGTGTGTGGCTGTTATAGAGTTTGATTTTTTTAAGTGGGGGGGGTGACTGACAAGAGATGATTTGAATGTTCCAGGGTTACTTAAGGCTGTTTGTTTCCCTTTCTAGGACAGAAACTATGGAAAGGAGCTGAATCAGTGCCTGTCTTTGGAGGAAATTCACTCAATTAGGACCTTTGTAAAGGAACTTGGGAGTCTGGGAGATTTCCAACTGGTAAAACAAAAGCAGCATGTCTTTTCTACTTAGTGACTGAGGTTATAATATTAATAGATTAGCTGTAAGCTGCCTGATTTTTCCTTCAGTTACACACAGATATTTCTTTAAAACATAGAGTCTTTTGTCAACTTTTGTCCTTTAGAGAAGATGTATATGTTTTGCTTTAAGCACTTGCTAATAATATGAGACTTAGCAGAGGTAAAGGATATGACATCACGGTAGCTGCCAGGGTTTGGCTGTTCTCTAGGAAAGATGTTGATATTTTTCTAAAGAAATGTCTTTTAGTTTGGGGCCTGTAATGCAACCAGCATTTATTACTTTTTATTACCCTTTTAATTTGAGAAAAAATAAATATAAGACTTTTGAAAACAGCCTAAATATTTTTAAAAATCTGTTCTTTTTTCATACATTGCATCCCACCCACAGTTTTCCCTTCCTCTATTCTTCCCAGCTTCCCTTCTACTCCCAACATAATTGGTGTTAGCGAATTTACAAGTGTCCAAAAAATAGAGTGTATGTGAACGTTCCTAGCAGCTCTCACTGGTTTCAGTTGGCAAAAAGGCATTTTCTTCTCACCCTGGACTTTTTGGTGTGTTTATCAACTTAGTGGTCAATACCAAAGCATAATTGATGATATCTGAATGTCCATGCCCAATGTGTTTTCTTTTATTTCTGCTACTAATATAGACTATAACGAGTTTATATTTTTACTTAATATTTTTTCATATATAAGACTATTTTAAAATTGTATGTAAATTAATTGATAATTTATTAATCTAATGCAAGGCTCAAATATTCCTTGTCATTTTTTTCAACCTATATACACACAAGTTACTTATATGAGTTGTAACCAGTTTACCAAGTTAACCAATGAACGATTGACAATTTTTAATGCAATTTAGCCCCCCTGAAAGTAAATTTATGACCCCAACATAACTTAACCAATACATTTATCATTTTAATTAGTTTACATTTACTAAATGACAGTTTAGCTTGATGTTTTAGAAAGACGCTCACCTGTCAGGAATTCATCACTCAAAACACAGTGAATGCAGACGGTCTCTATTGGGACAAGAGAACAAAAGAAACAAGGGCAAACCTCAATTTCCTGACTCTCAGAGTAGAAACAAGATAACCAATTTCCTCTTTTCTGTGAGATTAATAGTTCTCACCCTGGCATAATTCACTTGTAGAACGAAACAATTTCTCTTCCCCATTGCCTTTCTTCCTCCGCTCTTTTGAGGTTTTGATTGCTGGAAGAGATCCATGTATACTCATCAAAAAGAAAAAAATGACCCCATTTATACATATGCTCATCAGTGATTTTTCACAATGTCTTAAAAAGCAACATTTGCCTTAAAAACAGTACTAACAATTAAATTAATCTATACTGACCAATGGGCTGTGTTTGTGTGTGTGTGTGTGTGTGTGTGTGTGTGTGTGTACAAGAATAAGTGTGCACAAATATGAATGGAGGTCTGAGGACAGCTTCAGCTGTCATTCCTCTTGTGACATCTGCCTTGGTTTCTGAGACAGTCTCTGTTGTTGGCCCAGGACTCACCAAGTAGGCTGTGCTGGCCAGTCAATGAGCACAGAGGATCTATCAGTCTCTGCCTCCCATGCTGGATTCTGTAGGAGTTCATGCTTGGTTTTCCTGGGCTTCAGACTATGGTACTCTTACTGTCGTTGCAACTGAGTTATCCTCCCATCCCATGACCTTGAGTTTTTAAATAAATAACTGCTGGACAAAACAGTATCTGATTATATATAATTACTGTCTCATAATACTACATTTCAACTTCTCAAATGTTCAACTGATTGTTCTTCTGCTGATGTTTTCTTTGTACATTTCTTCTCAGCTCTTCCCATCCATCATTCCGGGAATTCAGTCTGTGATGCATGAATTTTATGCTATGGCAACTCCTAGCTCACTCCTGTCCCGATACTGGTCTCTTTTAAATGTATTTGAACAATTTTGGCCCACGAATAAAAAGGAACAGCTACATCCACTGGAATGGTAAGAAAGCCACAAATTTGAATGGTGCAATCCAAAAATTCTTAAGTCGAAAAGATTGATTTCAAAAGGCTTTGCCTACAGTAAAGGGAGCAACACAAAGGAAGTATACCTCAAAATTCATGGTCTGGAAAAGAAATGACTTTTAAGCACTGAAACCATAATGATTCTGCTGGTCGTCAGACACTGTAACAAAAATACACCCAACAGTTTTCAAACTAAGATGTGACTCCATTATAAACTAATGTTTAAAATTAGACATTTCCATCCCATTTCATCTTGTGATCCACACCATTGCATTACTGAAGCATCAGGAAGATTCTGTGGGATTTGTGTTCTGAACCATTCATCATCTTGGAGATAGATACAGCAGGCACATATATTTGGGGTTATAGAGGCATGGCTCTACTCTGAGCAAAACTCATCTAATTTTATAATCTGTACTCTGCTTTGTTTGTTTTGCTTTTAGAGAGTGTTTTGCCATCTTGACTTCCACCCTTACAAGAGGTAGCCATGAGGGAACAGGCAGGTGAGATATTAATGCCGCTAGTAGCTGGCAAAGAGGACGCACTTAAAGTTTAGTCTGTTCTTTAATATGGATAGAACTAAGAGAGCATTTGACTTTTCTACTGCCAGGAAAACAGAATTAGACCTAAGCCTCCCAGGGAGATGAAAGACTACTGGACATGACACTCATTTGTGTCTCTTTCAGTCACCATTGGGAATAGCTTCAGCTCTGTTCACTTGTCCCCTATTTCCTTAGGCTTAAGGAGATAGTGACTATAAGAAACTCGTTGGTAATTAAAAATACAAATAACCATACATCTGAGTACTTCTTAGAACTTCTTCTAGCATTAACATTCACTTTAATTGCAAAAGCTTTATCAGCCTAGCTTTATTCCCTCTGTAAATCCAAATGAATTTCTCCTTGCGTGCTTGAAAGCTGTTTTAAAATACTACAACATAAAGCCATTCTTTACACTCTGCGTTCAGTCGGATAATCCAAGACTACCTCCTATATCAGTGTAGATAGGCAAAGAACAGACGAGATTTCCCAAGGAGCTTATTTGTGTTGTTTGTAACGTGTGGTGAGTTCCCTAGAGATCTGCAAGCTTTACAACATTTGTTCCCTTGGCAAAGTTTTCTCCAGCTCCTTATGTATGAGCAGGTTCAGCAGTCCACTGCCTGAAACCAGAAGACTGGGTTCTCTTGCCTTAAAGAACTGTAAGAGTGATCACCATTGAATATAATAATAAAAGATTGGAACTATTCTTAATCACACAAAGGTGGATAAAAAACTCTGAACATTAGAGTTTATTAGTTATAGCTGGCCAAGTTCTGAGTCCTCTAATTTCTTTATATGTAAACATGGCTTAGGCTGCCTACCAACTAGTCTAGAAGGATTACTTAAGTTTTGTGTATGTCATGCTATAGTGTAAATGGGTGATAAAACACAGTTTACCTTTCGCTTCACATTTCTATGTCACTCAAAGGTCACTTCAGCATCTCTGGTGAGGGAGGCACTTTCCTTTCCTTTATAAGGGAAGCCATACATGTCCACAAATCTTTTCTATATTTAACACTGACAGAAGTAAATTTTTGATATTTATCAGAAGTCAAATAGCATAATTCTCCCAGAAATATTTCTAAAGTACTCAGTGTACATTATCTTTCACTTTACCCGTGAGTGTGTATTTTTTTATCATCATCTATGGTTTATTGCAAGGAGGACCATGCCTCTCAAACAAACTTCCCAGATGAAGGAAATTAAGATTCTAAGACAAATCCGTATGTAAAACATTCATCTAATACAAATACTGTCATGCTGACCACCTCAGGGCTCTGCACTTTTATCTAGTGTACCATGCAGACAGGGAGGCAGCCATCTTCACAATGGCCGCAACGAGGAAGTTTTATATATGTGTACGGCACTTGGGATCTAATGCCATCTTTCCTTTGAAATAAAGATCATTTACTTGTAGCAAAGCAACAGGGTAAGAGAAGATGAAGCCAGGACATCAGCAGTGATAGGTAATGTTTACATGTGAGCCCCAAGGCTCAGAATCCAGACGGCCCAACCTAAGCAGTATGAAAACCTTTTAAACATTAGTTAATTTTCATTTTCCTGGAAAGTTGCACATGCACTTCGCTATGTGGAAATGTTTTCTTAGAAAATACTCATCAATTTAAAAGTAATTTATTCACAATGATATCCGAGAAAGACCTGCATGACATGCTCTTGTATGCAAGTTCTTTCTCCATTAAGACAGCCATGCTTCCATAATTCAGTTCATGTGTACTACAGGCCTGTGTCTCTTGAGTGAGTCTCCTGGAAGTTCTTGTTCATGGGACATTCTTAGACTTTTAAAAATTTGGACTTCAGCTGGACTTACTTCATTAAAAGAGTGATTGCCACTATGCAGAAAGCTCTGGGTCGGATCCCGAGCATTACAAAAATAAAAATAAGCTAACAACCAAACATCTCAGCACCATCAAAAACTTTATAGCTCTTGCCAAGCAAGCTTTACCTGTTATTCAGTTTTTTTTGGAAGGAATCACTATATTTTGCCTCCAAGTTTTTGTGGGTTTCGTGTGTGTGCGTGGTTGTTGTTTGTGTGTGTGTGTGTGTATGCCAAAATAAAACAGACTTTTAGAAGTAAAATTATCAAAAACTTCTAGCATTGGCAGTGATAGAAATGCTAATTAGCAACAAGAAAACTCTGTTTAATCCTAGATCCTTTGAGATTTCCTGCCTGATGATGATGCTGTAATAGGCCTGAAGATGCCTTGCTGGTCTTTGTGCCAAATTACTCAGCAGTGTCCGGCACTGGCGTTTTTGTTTTTGTTTTTTGTTTTTTGTCACCTCTGTTGGATCTGGGCTATCTGAGGTTGCTCAGCTTCCAACCGGAGAGTGGCTGTTTTTTCACTAGTTTTCTTCAACTATCCATCCACTTGTTAGTGATGATAAGATTTGCACCCACCTCACTGGAGGCTAGATAGTCAGCCTCGAGGAATGAAGTCCAGATAGTGCTTGTTGTCTTCACCAAAATAACTGTGACCACACAGGTCAAAAGACAGTGTTGATCTGGACTTGCTTGGCATTGTATTCACAGGAATTCTTCAACAAGAAACGAGACCATTCAGAAACCACAAGAGTCAATGGAAGCAATCAAAAGCAAAGAAGGTAAAAGCATACAGCCCCACATAGCATAGCATAAAGTACTATCTGGCTTAAAAATATATCTAAAATGTTCAACTTTGTTAGCAATCAAAAATGAAAATTAAGCAAGAAAGAAGTGATATTTTTCTCCTCAAAATTGAGTGTTCTTCTTAAAGATAGGGAAGGAGTTAGGGGAAATGAGTGTTCTCATACTGAAAGCAAATGTTTCAATTAGAGCACATGTTAAGGGGCTACTTGATAGCATGGAAAGTAAACTTTAAAAGTTACACTTGGGGCCTAAGCATTGAGAGGTAGAACATATGCTTGGTATGTAGAGGCTGTAGGCTCAATCCTTAATGCATATAAATAGATTATCTGGTTAAATAAAATTTACACTTACACACTAGAAATTCTACTTCTAACTATTTATTTTAAGGAAATAACTAATATGCATGAACATTTAAATATTTAGGTATTTTAATGAGCAGTAATGTAACTTCTGAAAAAAGTTTAGTACCTATTTATAATACAATTATCATAAAATTATAAAAATAAATAAGCAAGTAATAAATGAAAAAAAAACATTAGAATCCACCATTATTGCTGTAAGAATAGACTGAATGCACCTGTAAACTTACAGTCCTGAAATAAAATTCTATAAATAGCTAGGAAAGAACATTTGCCACAAAAGATGTTCAGGCTACATGGTTGAATGTAACAGCTGCCTACTCACAAGAGCAACCTCAAGGAAGTTTAGTGGTGATTTTTTTATTACCCTGACTTACCTCTTTGTTTCTTCAATTCTATTTTTAAAGACTATCTAATGTTTTGTCATTAGAAGAAAAGTATTTTAAGAAGAAAAAAGTGAAAGAAATACCCATCAATGCATCTATTTATTTTAACTAAAGAACACCCATTTATAACCACGATTTAGTCTGATACCGTGGTTCCCAGTGGTATGGCATTGAATCTTCTAACCAGAATTTTGGGTTAGGGCCCACTAGTGAGCTTGCAGGACACTAGTTTGAGAACCACAGATTCAACAAAATGAATCGGTAGAAAGAGCAATGAATGGGTGATGGCCGAGCATGACTACTCTCTTCTGCCACCACTTTCTTCTTTATAAATGAATATTTTAAAGCATTCTACACATTTTAAGCAATCCTTTGTTCATAAATATTTATTATGATTTTTTTCCAGATGATTGTTTAGTTATCTGGAATCTTGGAACATACAGGGAGGGTAACCAACTGGTTAGAATGTCCTCATTCCAACAATTTAGGAAATTATAGCATAGGATCACAGAACCAGAAGAAAATTCAATAGTTTACCTTGAGGGTAGGATGACATTTAGACCACTCATTTGTTCCTCTAATATTCCCCTACTAGAAGCAATCAGTTGTTTGAGATTTGAAACCAATGCAATAGCTGAATATATTGTACCTGTTAACTGTGCTTATAAGTGCTCGTTGGTGAGGAGTGGAGAGATGACTCAGTCAGTAATGTGCTTACTATTCGTACATGAGTATCTGCATGCCAGACATAGCATGCATATAGAACTCTGGATGTGATGGTGAGAATCCCTAGTGCTTGGTAGTGGATGGGGGGTAGAGATTAGCAGATCCTCAGGCCTTGCTGGTTGGACAGTCTAGCTTGTCAATAAGTCCAAATTCAGACCACAAGACAGAGGGAGGAAGGAGAGAGAGAGAGAGTTTACATTAAATTCATAGTCTTATTTTCTAACTTAATTTTTATTTCAGATGCAGTTCCACGAGTTTTATATGAAAATAAAGATATACACTGCAGTGATGGTGAGTTGAGATTGAAGTGTTTCCATAGCACAGCCCACCAAACTAGACATAACCCAACTTTGAAAAAATATAAACATTTTATCATATTCCGATATCTTTAGGCTGCTAGTTTCTTTAAAGTAAATTTTAAGATATTTTATTTCTGGTTAAGTTAATATCTGTCACCTCTGCCTGAATAGAGCATTTCATTTTTAGTTATTCAGATTTTTAGTTTAAAATATTATATGTACATATGTTGTTTTAGGCCCATGACTTTCAGGATTATTTTTAGGTGCTCAAGGAATCTTAGGGCTTTACATTACAGGTAGAATTTGACTCAGACATCCTCTTTAGAAATCTCACTATCTTGAATTAAGTTTTTTCCTCCTGGGTGATTACTGTAATGGGGAATACTTGAATAGAATTCTCTCTGTAACAACTGAGAATTTCAAACTCATTTTTCAGTTTATTGTCTTAAAATATGATGAATTTTAACTACACAAAATACAATACGTATGAAGTTTAAGTTTAGATGAAATTTGAATTAAAAGTCGCTTGGCTCATCTGGTTTTATACAGTACCAGTGGTCTTCTAACCCTGTCTTTTCAGTTAGTTCCATTGACCTTCAAGCTCACAGAGCTATTAAATGACTGAGGTGGGTCGTGCCCTTCAGATTCGTTCTAAGATCCTGAGCCTTCTTTTCTTTTAAAAAAAATTATTATGTGTCTTACATGTATGTGTGTTTTGCCTGCATTTATGTCTGTGCACTCCACAAGAGCATGATGGAACTTGAGGAGGCCAAAAGAGGGTGTTGGAGCCTCTTTTCTTTTCATAACTCCTGGAACTGGGGTTACACATGGCTATGAACAACCATGTGACACTAAGAATTGAACCTGGCACTACATTCATGGAGTCTGGATCAGTCCCCTGTTGGCCTCTGAGTCATCAGTCTGGGGTTCAAGAGCTCCCCCTTGTCCAGTCAGCTGTCTTTGTGGGTTTCACCAGCACGGTCTTGACAGCCTTGCTCATCACTCCTTCAACTCTGTTACGGGGTTCCAGGGGGTCAGTTCAGTGTTAAGTTGTGAGTATCTGTCTCTGCTTCCATCAGTCACAGGATAAAGGTTCTAGGATGTCACATAAGGTAGTCACCAACCTTATCATCAGGTAGGGACTATTATGCAGTGTCAGTGAGGAGGCCTCAGAAATCTCTGGGCTTTGGGTAGTAGACTAGTGTTCACCATGGCATACAAATGAACTTTGGGAGCCCATTCCACATGGAGGAATGCTCTCTCAGCCTGGACACATGGGGAAGGGCCTAGGTCCTGTCCTGGATGAAATGATAGACTCTGAAGATTCCCCTAAGGAGGGCCTTATCCTCCCTGGGGAATGATGTGGGGATTGGCCTGGGGGTGGAGGGGTGGGGGTGGCGCTGGTGGAGGGAGAAGGGGGGAGCTGGGATTGACATTTGAAGCATGCATGTTTCTAATTTAAATAAAAAACATACATAAAATTTTTTTCAGATCATAATAAAAAAAAAAGAATTGAATCTGAGTCCTCTGGAAGAGCAGTGGGTGTGGTGCTCTTAACTACCGAGCCAACTCTCCAGCCTCCTGAATTTTCTTAATATCTTACATCATGCAAATAATTAGAAGCCCTCCATTGTAGGTTTATTTTTTCAATATATATCTCTTAAAATAAATTCACATTTACCAGTCTATTATGCATTTTGCTAAAACGTGTATTTAGAAAACTTGTCTTCTGGGCATTATGGCACACGGCTTTAATCACAGCGCTCAGAGGCAGAGGTGGGCAGATCTCCAATGAGTTCTAGGCCGGTCTGTTCTACAGAGTGTGAGTTCCAGGACAGCCAGGGCTACACAGAGACACCATGTCTTGAAAAGCCAAAAAGAAAAAAAAAATAGAAAGAAAGAAAAGGAAGAGAAAACTTGTCTTCCAAAACAAATTCCTCTAAAACATGAGAGTTGAAAAAAAATGGAATGTGTAACCTTAGGCTTAATTTATTATAAATAGAAGTCTTTTAATTTAATACAATCTAACTTGTTGCCTTCTGAATATTGGCGTTTAGTCATCCTTTTCAATAATCATATCATAAATCATACTGGAGTAATATTAGTCTTTATGAAATCAACAAGTGTATTCAGTTAAGGACAGAAAGCTTTTCAAGTATTGCTGTTCTTACCAGGGAAAAGAGAGCCCGGGTGCTCCCCCCAAACACCCCACCCCTCACCTCCCAACCCCCACCCCTGTGACCAATCCCTCACACCTACAAGACCCAGCTCCTTTTTCTTTTGGGTACCCTGCTGCTCTGGGTATGATTTTTAAAGAAAGAAAGCTCAACGAGAAAGCTAACAGAATTGGGAGTAGTAGCATTTTTTTGAGTCTGTCCTGGGTAAGGCCCAGGGCTACATGCAGTTTGGAAAAGCCATATCTTCTCTGTGGGCTTCCGTACTGGATGAACTCATCCTCTTCAGTTCCCAGGTGATGTCGATGAGAGGCACGTTGTCAGAAAATCTCTGCAACTTCCTTCATGTTGTTTTGTTCCCTGTTTAAAACTTCATCTTACTTGTATCTTTACAATTAATCTCCCTGCTTTCATGGTTTGATATAAGATTTAAAAATATGCTGTGAGATGCTCCTGCACAGGTGGGGTTATCTTTAAGAGAATAAGCCTTTCCTGTCTTCAATATGAGTTACAGTGGTCCGTCAAGAGAGCAATAAAATCCTATGGTTAAAAGAAATCCCTTAAAAACCACCAAAACTTCAAACAGCTTTCCCGTGTACGCTTGCCAAATAGGTTAAGCAGCCTGCTACCAACATCCCTCATGCTGGGTTCTCATAGATCTAAGGTAAGCGGGCCTGAGACAAGTCAGGACTGGACTGGGAGAGAAGCCAAGGACACACCAGGTGTTTACAGGCAGCAGCCTTTATTCAGTTGCAATGATGTCAGAGCTAAATCAACTTTCAAGTTAGGGTCCAGGACGCAGCACCCAACCCAGTCATGTAAAGTTTGGTGGTGGTGGTTGGGGGTGACCGTCTTGCTAAAATCTTGCTTAAGAAAGTAATTGTACATTTATTTCATCTCTTGTGGAGGTGAGGTTCAATCTATAAGAAGTACAAGCCCCTTTTGAAAACTGTGACTGCCCAGTGAAATATAAAAATAAACATAAATACTATAAACCAAAAGGAAATTAATTCACACTAAATTGCTATAAAAATATATTCTTGGTTAATAGAAGTGGCACACGCCAGTAACCTCACTGCTGGGAGGCCAATGCCAGAAGATCACAAGTTCAAGGCTAGCATGAGCTGTATGGGAAGACCTTGTGTCAAAATGAAACAAATGAAACGAAAACGCATGTCTATTAAGTTAAAATACATCATGTATGATCCATGTTGATAAAACAATCTACTGCTTTGTTTTCATTCAAGTGGTCCTAAGCACAAGTATATTTATATTCTCTTCATGCCTGGGCAGCTCAGGCCTCCTTAGTCAATGGTGATCGTTGCTCTAGCTTTTTTAGTATTATGCTGTGATCAGAGCATTTGGATCAAATCCCATAACTGTTAACCACCTATTTTCACTATGCTAATCTCCATGCCTTGAACAGACATGTGGATTGGGTATGTGGGACTTTGATTTTAAAAATCAATACACGATTAAGAAAGCCATTGAATTTGAAATAAATGCAATGATTATTTTCAGTATAAGTCATAATACTATATACTTATAGTCTTATGAATCATGTTGAGACAGATTATTAAAATTATGGTTGAAATATACCTATGTATGTATATCAGCCAGAAAAAAATCTTTGGTTGGCTTGCTCTTTTCAAATGTCAAGTAAAATTAAGCAGTGTACTCAAACCACTTAGAGATTCAACAAAATACTTTTCTGTAGAATGAAATTATGCCATATTTATGATAATATTCTGTGACAAATCTTTCTCTGTCCCACCCCGTCAGCTCCCAAGTAATGACATGGAGACTTATATTAATTATGAAAGCTCAGCCTATAGCTTAGGCTCATTCCTAACTAGCTCTCAGAACTTAAATTAAGCCATATTTTAAAAATCTACATTCTAACATGCATCTTTTTATCTTTCTTTCATTTTGTACCTCTGACCTGTTCTGTGTCTCCTGGCATCTCCTTGTATCTCTCTGCGCCTCAATTATTTCTGACTTTCTTTCTCTCTGCAGAAGTCTCTCCTTTACCTCCTGCCTAGCTGTTGACTGTTCAGCTCTTTATTAAACCAATCAGAGTAATATGTCTTCACAGAGTGTACAAATATCCCACAACACTCTTGTGACTGTTGTAAAGAATAGATAAAATACTTATAGATACTGCACTGAAATCCCTTTTGATAAACTCTCGAGTAATTGTCCATTCCAAATATTAATGTTCTATGTAATTTTACAGTAGCTGCTGTGTTTATATATGCACACACTACTGAAGCCGTTTTCCCTTTCTTGTAACAAGACAGTGTTTGCAATAAAATGAGTTCCCCAAGGAAAATTTATAGTCAATGGCATGAAGTCATTGTAGGCTCAAAAACAGGTTTAAACAGATATGGCATTTCTTTTTATTACTTTATGACACTTTCCCCTAATGAGGTGGCTTGGGAAGGAATTTCAGGATGCTTTGTGGATATTTTGAACTATTGTGTTTGATATGGTTCCAAAGTTCACATTTCTGCTCTACCGTTACTGGTCTTTTATGTGGTGATATCTTGCTTGTCCAAGATCAGAGGATGGAGCTTGCCACTAGCTAACCAGAGAGGTCTGGAAGTCTGTAAAGAGAGACAGGAAGTGATATGGCTAGGTGGGAACAGGAAGTGAGATGGCTGGAATAGAGACAGGAAGGAAGATGGCTAGGCAGAGAAAGGATATAAGCCAGGAGAAACAGAAACTTGGTGTATTTTGTGCTGGGAAGCTAATGAGGTAAAGGTGGCATTTGCTTGCTCCTTCTTCTCTTTGATCTCTCACCATTTTCTCTCTATCTGACTCTGGTTTTTAATATTAGAGCTACTAAGATCTCCATTTACAAACTAATGGCAGTTTAATGACATTTTTCATTTAGAAAGTTTCCTGATTGGCTGCTGGCTCCCTTCACTGTCCCACGGAGCCATTGTCTCCATTTTCGTAGCTGACTAAGATGTTATATTTCATGAGGATGTTATCAACCCAAAAGTGAGACATTTCCCTCACCTTTTATGCCTTTATCATTTCGAGGACTGAGAAAAAATACTGTCTGTATTGCACCAACTACAGTGAACAGTATAAGCTCCTCCGTATCTGACGTCATGTTGGAAATCATGTTGATGCCATGAATCAGTGGTGCCTAGGTGTTGAGGTGATAGCCACTGATCACTGAAACTGTGCATAGCAGTAGGAGGGTGAAACACCTTAATTGCATGCAGTTTTAAAACTTATATGCAGTTCACAGTTGCTTTTGTCATTCTTTCTGTCTCGGAAACAGAGAAAGGCGCAGTCTGCAATATCAAGATCTTCACCCACCCCCATCTGGAGCTAAATCCCGAGTTCAATCCGAAGGTCAAAGATTATTACTGTGAAGTGCCATTTGATGTGCTGACAGTGAGGATTGGAGCAGAGACCTCTAAGTGTCAGTGCAAGGTGCATCTGCAGGAGCGGGCAGGGCCAAGGTATGGGGATGTGTGCCAGCTGACTCGACTTCCCACCAGAAAGCAGGTGTCTGGTTCCACCTTAGCTGGTGGTTCCGGAAAACCGAAGCATGGTCCTGGAAAGCATGGTGGTGGGAAGTCTGCCTCTTTCAGGCTTCATGTGCTCAGAAACACACACAGATTCTCCACCAGTCCACAACAAAGGGAGTTAACCTTGATAATAATACAGTAAGAAGAGAGGGCCTTGAGACAGAAGATGAGGGGAATCCATCAAGAACTCGGCTTCATGCATCTTCTTGTTTCCAGATTGTTGGAGCCGATGCTTGTAAACAGTGACCCCCTTTCACCCTAAGCCAGTGTCCCCAGTTTGGTGACAATCTGTGGGCACAGCAGGCTCATCTTGCAGGGTTTATTTATTTACTTACTTCTCCGTTTGTTGTTATTTTCCATAGATGCTTTTGAAAGACTCCAACTCTTTTGTTTGAAAACTCGAACAGAATCAGAACACTGTTACATAGTGTCCATAAAGAGGAAGATACAAATCTGTGCCGTAGGGCAAAGGTTCTCAACCTGTAGGTGTTGACCCCCTTTGGGGCTTGAAAGGCCCTTTCTCAGGGGTCGCCTAAGACCATTGGAAAACACAGATGTTTACATTACAATTCATAACAGTGGAAAAATTACAGTTGTGAACTAGCAACGAAAATAATTTTATGGTTGGAGTTACGGTAACATGAGGAGCTGTGTTAAAGGGTCACAGCATTGGGAAGGGTGAGAACCACTGCTGCAGGGCAAGAAATGTGCTTGGCATTGATGCCAGTCCAGTTTAGTATAAAGAAAGGATGTCAGTTGGGGAACTTGGGCAGTCTATGTGGCTGCTGGAAGTATTTATCCCTAGTGCACAAATGGGCTTTGGGAACTCATTCCCTATGGAGGGATACTTTCTCAGCCTAGATACATGGGGGAAGGCCTAGGTCCTGCCCCAAATGATGTGACAGACTTTTGATGATCCCCCATGAGAGACCTCATCCTCGCTGATGAGTGAGTGGAGGATGGGATAGGGATTGGTGGGGGGTATAGGAGGATGAGAGGGAAAGGGAATTGGGATTAGTATGTAAAATAAGATTGTTTTTAATTTAAATAAAACTTAATTTAAAAAAGAAAGGATATGAGCTCAGGATACCCCTCTATTAATAGAGTGCTTGCCTAGCATACAAGAAACCTTGGGCTCAACATTCACTTGGAGGTCAGTCTGGGATACATGATAATATTTGTCAAAAGAAGGGAAGAAAGGAGGAAGAGGGAGGAAGGGAAGAAAAAGGAGAAAATGAAATAACAGAGAAAAGAGAAAAGGATTCATGTCATTCTTATCTGTGCTCTACCCTGACTCTATGTAACTGGAGGCAGTTGACTATCAGTTCTTTTTAAGATTTTCTGTGTTGCTGGGCAGTGATGGTGCACACCTTTAATCCCAGGCATGCCTCTTGAGAGGCAGAGGTCTGTGCATCTCGGAGTATGAGGCCAGACGGGTCTATGGAGTGAGTTTCAGGACAGCCAGGGCTATATACAAAAACCTTGTCTTAAAAAAACAAATGAATGAAAAAGAGTCTCTATGTTTATAATAAGGGCCATTGTGGTTTGTACGGAGCTACTGTGTTAGAAGTAATGGCCTGACCCTGACAGGTGGTTCATAAAATTACTTTCTTTCCCTCTAGTTAATGAAGGACATGACTTATTCTAAAAGATGATCCCTAGTCTAGCTAAGAACTAGACTTTTCATATTTCATATTTCTTGTGAAATTATGCAACTCTTACATGTTTTACCCAAGTAACAATCATCATAATGATGACGATAATAAATACTGATGTCTGAATCTGTTTGGACTAAGTAATTGTCCCCATCCATATTAATTCTCTTCTATCTCTCACTCTCCATCTCCTTCCGCTGTCTGCTCTCAGCTTTGCCAACTATCCCCTGGGATTAGGAATGAACAGAATTTCCATGGTCGTGGTGGATGAATCTCCAGCAGAGGGTGACATGGAAACCACGTATAAACTCACCATCTATAGAGAAGACCGCCCAAGTCTGCCCTTCTTCGAGGACTTCACAGCATGCGGTTTTGTACAAGTGAGTGAACTTTGCATTTGCACTCGTGATGAACTGGGAATGAGTAGTTAATCCAGTGAGAAATGCGAAGAGTGCAATTGTTACTCACAGCATTGTGCCTCTCTAAACTGTGATCTCTGCAGCAGTCTGATCCCAGGCAGGTATCTGAAGCCGCCATTCTGTGGTTCCTTCCCCAAGTGGTAGCCGCATTGTGCTTGCTGGGCTCAGGGACCCATCATAGTTACTGTTTAACACTGTGGAGCACCAGCAGCTTTGGATTCGGTTTTGCATTGCCCATTTAAATTTTCATGTTTATCTTGGATTTGTCCCTGGATCTCCTTTTGAAATATTAAACTGAATCCAGTGGAATTTATTGTAAGAAAAAAAATTAGAAGAAAACATACAAAATGAAATTTGCTTGGCCTAGATGTATTTCCCATTTGTGTCTCAGCCCTTAATCACTTCTCAAGGCTGTGGGCTCTCCTTTGAGATACACATTCCATTTTGTAGCCTTACTGGTTTGGGAGGAGGGTTTCTGTTACCCTCTGACTTTGTCTTTTTGTCAGCTCTGCCTTACAGTTTCTTTTCTTTACATTTTCTCATACCATGCATATACCCTCAGGACAGATGATGCCAGACAAGTAGGAGTTAGAACTCTGATCAAATATTTCCTAATCCATTCAGAAAACATAATCACAGATATACCCTTACAATGTCAAGAGGATGTGCTTGCTACCAGGAACTTTGTAATAGAGAGGATTAAATGGGGATATGAGCCACTGGGCCTCTGTGGATGGCAAGAATCCCCTGGTTGTTTATGTGTTCATTTAGTGGCCAGACACTGCAATCCTTCCCTTCTTCCATCACCATTTCTCATTCTTCTATTTCCAAAAGCCTAATACCATTTCACAAGGTTATTTATCCCTTAGATTTTTGTCCCAAGGAAATATAAATCTCAACCTTAGGAATCCTCACAAAATCAGAGGGAATTCTACATTGTTCTAAAGAGTAGTATAACAAAGCAAAAACTTAAAGGTTATCAATAGATGTATTAATGAAAACCATTTTTGTAAATAAAAGGGAAATCAGGTGACTCTTTAGAAGCCCATACCTGTTTCAGTGCATATGACACTGTCCTCTGATACTCTTTCTCCTCCGTAATTCCCGTGCTTATACATATAGTAAAAACCTTTATTTTATTATTTTTAATTAATTTATTTAATTTAAATTTCATCTCATATAATGTATTTTTGTCATGTTTTTCCCTTCTAATATCTTCTTTATCAACCACCGTTTGTTCCATTAAAGAGAAGCCAGACACATAAATATACATACACTGTCTCATTAATAGACATTTAAAGGCAGGTAAAACTAACCTGATTATGAGACCAGAACAGGGGTTATCTGGAGGCTATCAATGCCCCTATTCATGAGCAGACCCTTTGAGGAAGTACCCAATAACAAGTGAAGCTGCTCAGTTAACACTTACATAATTTACTTTCTATCTATGTAATACAGGCAGTATGTATGAAATAGTTGGACAAATTTGCATATAAATTTTAGTTCAGTGAAATATGAAAAGAAAATGTTAGAAGGGAAGTTTGTATTGTTATCTTCCAATACCTGTCTTACTTATCAAATACCATATTGATCATAAGCAAGTTAATTACCATGCAGTTACCATAGAGAATAGATTATACTTATTACTGTAACATGAACAAAAATATTAGGAAATTCTTGTGGGATGACTCTCACAAATGATTGCAGGAAAGTATTTCAGTCATTTATGAATCCTTTCCAGGGAGTTCTTAATTGAAAGTTTATGTGTGGTCCTTCAGTAAGGACTATATTTTATAACATGGAAAGTGTTTAATAGTATTTTTTAACCTTTCATTTATAAAAATTCTCGAATGAGTGAGCAGGAAAGTGTGGCGTGAAAAGGCAGCTTATTTTCAATGCTTAGCTAGGCCCGAGCTGTCACATGGGCTGCAGGAGGACAGGGCCCTAGGTCTCTCATAGGCTCTACCTCCAATTCTACCCAGAAGTCCCGTGTGCTAGTTAATTTTCTCACTGCTATTACAAAATACTTGATAAGAGCAGCTCAGAGAAGAAAGAGTTCACTTTGGCTCACAGTCTGAGGGTACACCAGCAAGGCATGGAAGCAGGAGCACAAGACAACTGCTCATATTTCCTTCAGAGATAGGAATCGGAGATGAACCCTGGTGTTCAGCCCAGCTTCTCCTTTTATTCAGCTGGGAATCCTAGCTGTGGAGAGGTGCCACCTGTATTTAAGCTCTATGTCTTCTCTTCTTAGTTAAATCTCTTTGAAAAGACCTCATGAGCAATCCCAGGGTTTGCAAACAAATCCAAATAATCCAGCAAAGTTGACAATGATGGATGCTGCTTAGTGTCATTATCATCTTTCGGCTTCAATGCTGATAAAATGACATCAGTTCATATGCATAGAAAGTGAGAGGAGATCAGTTCCTAATCACCAAATCTTAGGTTCTTGAGAATTTCTGAATTAAACTGATAGCAAAGCATATACATATCATGTAACCTAAAATGTTCTATCTTCCAAACGCACCTCCCCCATTTTCTGCTATTGTATTGTCAGGATTAAAGTCTACATTACATTATTTGAAAATTAGCAGTTGTTTAATTTCAGTCCCCAAAACTTACACGTGCAAGCCTAAAAGGAAAGCAGTTAAACTTTAATCACGTTTTGTTTTCCAGCAAAAAGGGAAATTGTAACTTTTCCTTGCATTTCTAATTAGATTTTGGTTTAATGGTCTCCATTGTTCAGTTTAAAATTAGCATCCTAGTCCATTCATGTTACTATAACAAAATGCCTGTAGCTAGTAACTTATAAAGCTAATTTCTCATGGTTCTGGAGGCTGAGAAGCTCAAATTGTGTCTTTGGAACTCTGTCAAGACCTCTGGATATTGCCACTGTAGCAGGGGCAGAAAGCACACAGGCTGTGTTCCACTTGGGGAGGAGCTAAGGAGCAAGACCAAGGCCTATGCCTGTTGATAAGGCACCAGTCCTTCCATAGGGGTCCCAGCCCTTTTATAGGGACTAGGACACCGCCTTCATGACTTAATCAAATCCTAAAAGGTCCCAGCTCACAATACTACTACAGTGGCATTATTTTAACACAAGAATTTTGGGTGTCAGTCAGTTCTCAGCAAGCACAGTAATTAACCCACTTTCAAATAACCAATGCAGCATAATTCAATGTGGATGCCATGAAGCCCCTCATTTCTCCTCCCCTTGTTCTCCTTCCCTCTGGGAATCAACTATTCACTTTATTGTTTCACCAGAAGATTAGCAGGGACGAGAAAGCAGAGTTATAAAACGTAATAGTTAAAAGCTAGTCATCATGGTATTTTGGTGAATGATAAGATCTTTAAATTCTAAGCCACTTTATATCTTTCGTATGTCTAAACCATAATAAACCATTTGGAATTATTTAATTTCTTTATCTCAGTTAGGGTATGACAATTAGAAATTGTATATGGTTGTCCCAAAGGGGTTTTAGTCATCATATGTAAGGATGAATGTATTTATTTATTTATTTATTTTGGTTTTTCGAGACAGGGTTTTTCTCTATTGTTTTGGAGGCTGTCCTGGAATTCGTTCTGTAGAACAGGCTGGCCTTGAACTCACAGAGATCCACCTGCCTCTAACTCCCGAGTGCTGGGATTAAAAATGTGTGCCACCAACTCCGTCATGTTTTTATATAATTGATAGAAACATTTAGACTGGGGCCACCTACCTCAACCACAGCACCAAGGACACTTGGACCTGGATAATTTGGAAAAAAACAGTCAGAACATTATCATAAACCCCTTCTGAAAGTGGTTACAGTTTATGTCCCCAGACATTTCCAATGTCTCCCATGGGGCAGAATCAGCACCAATGGAAAATCAGCCGCTTAAAGCAGTAAGCTTTCTTCCTAACACTGTGTTAATGAGAGTGAATGACTTACAGGTATTCCTTAAATGTTGCATGCTGGAGACTCATTCTTACATTTCATCATCCTGACATCTTAATTGCTTCCAGTTCTGCTCACTAGCTAGACTTCTTTTCTGCCTTGTGTAATTACTAGTATCACAAGTGGGCTTTCAATTACAGAAAACATGTTCTTAATGAAAACTAAAACCATCATGCGACTGACACACTTAGATTGTTACCGCATTAGGTTTATCCATAAATGTGTAAGGCTTCACTGCTAAGAAAAAAGGTTTAGAAAGTAATAAATAAACTGTTACTGTGGCTGGAAAATGTCATGTTTAGGAAATAATAAAATATATTTATGTTCTAAGGAAATTGAAATACACATGGAGAAATATTTATTTTACTGCCTCTTTCCAAATCAAAGTTTTTACATGGACAACAATAACTCCGCAGAAATTGATTTGTGGAGTTGATCTTCAGTCTGGTGTGTATTTTGCCCCCAAAGCACTGTGCTAGGCAAGAGCCATAAATAAGGTCTCCAGGAAGGTCATACAGCAGAAGCCTAGAGGACCATGTTCCATGGATGTATTGGCTAGAACCATTTTTACCTTAAAATGGATTATTATATACAAAGGAGAAACTACTGAGGGAGAGAGAAAGTAGTATTTTTAAAACCATTCAGCATTTGATTATATGTTTCACTAACTGACATATGCTGTTTTATAAAAAAATATTAGCCACTTAGATGCCATGGTACTGAATTCTATGCAAATGACTCCAATTCAGCATTTAAAAAATGCTTTAAAATTCTCTCATATATTCTTGCACCCTCCCAGAACCACGGAGAAATACTATAAAGTAGCTCATAGAGATGGTTTGTCTAATGTCTTAGCAAATTTTTATGAGAGACTAGGGATGCATTCATCAATAATTGTGTTCAAAACACCAGTTAGTTTAATGAGTGATCATTCATTAGTCATCTCACCTTCTTCAATTTGCCGGTTTTCCCACAATGGCATCCATGCTGCTGTGGCACACCCTCAACTATTAATGAGTTCAA